GTATTCATACATACTCCCAATGCAAATGCATTAAAGAAACTTCTGAAACAGCAACATTACACACTAACGTTAAAAAAGTGAAATCGCAATGAACCACCCCTTTAAATAGATTGCACATGATTAAATCAGATTTCATTATTTAATTTTAATAAAGTAAATTGAGCAAGCGGCAAATTTATGTTAATTAAAAAGATGCAGTATGAACATCTGTTAGTTTATTCAGGTCCTGATTCACAGGCTAGGTTGATTTTCTCACCTAGGGCATAAGGGCTAATGCCTTTTTTACGAAATTCCAACCTTTATTGTTGAACCTGAGCGGCCTGTGCTGAGACACGACTAAAGGCAGACAGACAGGCTGTTGCACACGGCTGTCACAGTGTCTGAGGGTGATCACAATAACAATGTTTGCGAGTCACCGAGGCCAGAAGTAATAAAGGAGTGTGTCTATTTCTCTCTCTCTCTGAAATTCCAACCTTTATTGTTGAACCTGAGCGGCCTGTGCTGAGACACGACTAAAGGCAGACAGACAGGCTGTTGCACACGGCTGTCACAGTGTCTGAGGGTGATCACAATAACAATGTTTGCGAGTCACCGAGGCCAGAAGTAATAAAAGAGTGTGTCTATTTCTCTCTCTCTCTCTTTCCCTATGTGCCTTCCAGGTCAGAATTGAGTCCTAATTAAGGGAGAGGAAAGATAGTCTCAGTCTTCATAAAGCTGTCCATTGCTGGACACACTCTGAAATGAACCCTTATAAAAACCTAATAGGGTCTTTTCACACAGCATTGCACACTCTTGATTTAGAAAAATGGTTGTGTGTGTGTGCGTTTTTCACCCAATTTGTATGAATGCTGGTGCTTATTGTTGTCGAAAAAGACTACAAAGACTTCTTTATTTCAAGAGCTCCCATCTGAAAAATCTAACAACCACCTCAAGTGCAGTCAGAAAGCACACAAAATAGCCTCTTTATAGCACATGAAACAAGGAATTCACAGAGGAAACAACTGCTTATCAGCTAACCTTGAACATAATAGATACTCTTGAACCCCAGCTACCAGAAGAAATGAATGAAACATGAACTTGGTGCAGATTCATACCTATTCCAAGCATTTAGCAAAACAAAATCAATATGGGTGAAATATCAAAATAAATGTCAGCTAAAAATGAATATAAAGAATATGCTATATATGACACTAGCTTCTAATTTGTATGATAAATGATTAAACAAGCATAGGCTGAATAATAAAATGTAGGGAATGTTAACGAAACAGCCAAGACTCCTTCACTTTCTAGCAACAGAACTTGACACAAGAAACCATAAATCAAAAATAATGAGAAGGGTAACTGATAAAGAATACAAATTCTGCCTTTTCCCAGAAAACATCCTTAAAATGAGCTCACATGCACACTTCATTCATTGATTCGATGTTGTACAGAATAATTTTCTTCACTATAAATGTGTATATGTACACTACTGTTCAAAAGTGGGCTCTGATTTTTTTAAACAAAATGTATACTTTTATTCAAAGATGCCATAAATTATTCAAACGTGACAGTAAAGACATTTATAATGTTACAAACGATTCCTATTTAAATAAATGCTGTTCTTTTGAACTTTCTATTAATCAAGGAATCCAGAAATTTTTTTATCAATTTTTCCACAAACACATTAAGCAGCACAACTGTTTTCAAATTTGATAAAAATAAGAAATGTTCCTTGAGCAGCAAATCAGCATATTAGATTGATTTCGGAAAAATCATGTGACACTGAAGACTGAAGTAATGATACAGGAAATTCAGCTTTGCAATCACAGGAATGAATTACATTTTAAAATAGAAACAATTTTATTTGCATTTCATTTTTGATTACTTTTATTCAAAGATGCCATAAATTATTCAAACGTGACAGTAAAGACATTTATAATGTTACAAACGATTCCTATTTAAATAAATGCTGTTCTTTTGAACTTTCTATTAATCAAGGAATCCAGAATTTTTTTTATCAATTTTTCCACAAACACATTAAGCAGCACAACTGTTTTCAAATTTGATAAAAATAAGAAATGTTCCTTGAGCAGCAAATCAGCATATTAGATTGATTTCGGAAAAATCATGTGACTGAAGACTGGAGTAATGATACAGGAAATTCAGCTTTGCAATCACAGGAATGAATTACATTTTAAAATAGAAACAATTTTATTTGCATTTTATGCATTTTTGATCAAATAAAGAGCATAAGTGTCTTTTGAACTGTGGTGTACATGAGCATATGCATGCAAATGTGCGTCAGTGTGTGTAAGAATGTTCTATCCACGTTGTTCGTGTGTGTCAGTCTGTGTGCACGGTCACCTTATCCACTTCTTATAATTGAAAATGACACATGGAGACCACTTCTCGGATGTCAGTGTAACTTCCCTGTCCTTCACACTGTGCCTGGTCACAATGTGATAAATTTGCTGACATCCTTCCTGTAGCTGGTTCATCCAAAGCCAGAATGTCTGCTTTACTTAAGCTGTACTGTACCAGCTCAGAGGGTCTGATATACTGATTTATGATCGAATAGTAGAGTATTAACGGCTATTTTTTTTTATTTCTTTATGTCTACTTTAGATAAGAAGGGAAGTTACTGCTCAAACCTGTTATTTCTCACCCAGGGGTTATTACACTGGAAATTGCAAAAGCTTGCAGTGTAAAAACCGGGAAGGGCGTCAAACACTTGCAGCAACTAATGTGAACTTTGGAACTGTCACTGTTATTTTAATGACACAACGAGAATTGATAGTGACTTCTCTTTGTGTGCATGACATTACACACACCAACTCTCTGAATAAAAAAAGACATCTATAGGAGCCCAAACGTGATATTTTAGCTTGAACGTTCTCTTTTGGCAACATAAAACATGAAATTTCCCTTTTAATAAGTGCCAGTGAAAACTCTGACCTTCAAATGCACACTTGAGAGACAACACCAGCCTCCCATGAATATTCATCAGACCAGCACAAAAACAGTTCATTATTCACTTGTTTGTTTGCTGTTCTAGAATCTGCTCCCCTTTGAGTTCAAAAATATTTAATTAATTTCACTGTTGTTTTGTACGGAAGCACAAAAGTTTAATCTTTTTTTTGAAACTGCATGATCTGAGTGTTTCAAACACATAATAATTTGAAAAATGTGAATTTCTAAATGTGAATTCTATTTTAATATATTTTAAAATGTAATTTACTCCTGATGACAAAGCTGAATTTTCAGCATCATTACTCCAGTCTTCAGTGTCGCATGATCCTTCAGAAATCATTCTAATATGCTGATTTGCTGCTCAAGAAACATTTCTTATTATTATCAATGTTGAAAGAGTTGAGCTGCTGAAGACAGTTTTGTGGAAACCATGATACATATTTTTTAGGAATGTTTGATGAATTCAAAAGAACAGCATTTATTTGAAATGAAAATCTTTTGTAACATTATAAATTGAGAGTTCAGATGCAAAAGCCTCTAAGTGCCGATTGAAATTTACTTCTAAAATGACCATTTTTCTCAGAGTCATATGTTTATGTTCAGTTATTTCACTTAATGGCAATGAAAATAACCTATTCATTATAAATCCTGAACCTACTCATAGGAGTCAAACGGCAGAGGCTTTTGCATCTGAGCTCTTCAAATGTCTTTACTGTCACTTTTGATCAATTTATTGTGTCCTTGCAAAATAAAAGCATTCATTTCTTTGTTTTGAATCCCAATGACTTTTATATACATTTTTCTTATATATATTTTTCAAAATATATTTTTTTATGTGTTCAACGGATGAAAACAAATGCATACAGGGTGAGTAAATGTCAATCAAATTTTTACTCTTTACTATTCCTTTAAAAAAGTGTAACTGACATTTTGAATCATCTTCAAGATAGTTTTCTATATAATATTCCTTTTGTGAGAAATCTTGCTAGTAGACCAAAAAGCTATTTTTTAATCAAGTTCTCAACAATTAACCCTTGTGCACTTGATCCTACTCACTCTGTCTCTGAAAAACAAAGCATTGCTAGAAAGACAGACAGCCATTACAGATCCAATCATTAAAATTTAATCTGGGAGCACATCTAAATTCCCAAGACACAACTGTTGATTTGAATAATTCATTATGCTAATTGTCTTGGTTTTTAGTAAATATACATACTCTCAGCAACATGAGACAGTCGGATTTCCTCCAGCTGTATGCCTGGCACACAGTTCAAGTGGAAATAGGGATGTTTTGTCCCAAGAGTGCCTCATGAACTTCACATCTCACATGTCAGAATGACAGCACGTCGAGCCTCAGGCTCCTGCCTGTCACCGCTGATGTGACACGGGCTGTCTCATAAAACCACTGCCCTCTTTTCCATACAAGAGCCCTCGATTCTTCCTCCTGACAGAACAAAAGCTGACAGGACCGGCCAACTGATTCAATCATTACAATTTAAATGGATGAAGTGTGATTTGGAGTCAGTGAAAGTGTGAAAGTTGGAGCTGTGATTTCATTTGCAGAGTGGCCAGCTGTCTCTCCGAGCCTGACCAAGTTTCAACACATTTCATAAAGCCAGTCAACCTTGAACCGTTCAGTGGTAACATCTATGAGATCTAATGGGATTTTCTTAGACACGTGGGGAAAAAGTGAGAAAAAGATCTTTTTACAGTAACCAGACTTTTATCTATAGGGTCAATATTAGGCAAGGATCCTATAATAATACACACTCCAGGAAATTCCTAATTGGAATTAACTGTAATTAAATATACAGATGAATATCTCAAACAGTGCAGAGACAGCTAAAAGCTAACTATATTATATATATAAGCAAATAGAATTGCACAATCTATCTATCTATCTATCTATCTATTTTAACAGTAAAAACGACTAATAAAAGGTGCTGAGGTAGTTTCAGGAAGGCAGTGTTATCACCGCATCGCATGAACAGCAGCACTGATGCAGCTGTATTCAGTAAATGTAAACAGAGAAAAACGAAGGTACTCACTCTCATGCTTGGACGTTCCCCATGTGTGCCGCGGAACTCCAGGACTTTTGATTATTGCTCTCCCGGCGGATTTTAACGCATCCATGCTGGAAGGTGTCTGCAGAGCAGGTGCAGAGCTCTTCTTTGGTGCTCACTGTGGGAATGGGGAAAGTAGAGTAGCATGCAGCGAGTAATGGAGCGAGTGGACACGAGCAGTCTATAGACACCGGCTCACAGTCCTGTATCTGTACAGTAACAGTAACCCTTCACTGCCCGAGTGACGGAGATCCACGAGCTGCTCCCTTCACACACAGCCTCTGACGTTTCATGACTGATCACATGAGAAGAACAGTCATGCGAAACTTGGAGAGAACCATATGGTCATTTTGTGACCAACGAAAACAAAGACTGTAACAATGTAACTTTTAATAGGCTATATGTTATTATCGCTTTATGCATTATGTAGTTATGTTATCTGAATCAAAAACATATTTGAACATGTGTCCCCATGTTGTGCGTCAACCTTGTTACCAGTTTCCTCTTATTAAAATTTTCATAAACCCTAATGAAAATACCTCAACATCAACAGCATCATACTTTTAAGATGTGAACTTTCTTTTAGAAAGTAATTGTTTTTCTCTTTTTTATTACTTTATGTATTGTTAGGTTTGTACGGGATGATCTGAAATAGTCAACCCTGTTACCATGATTATGTGCAGTAAACAACTTTTCACAACTGAATATGTACCTGAAGTTGTGCCCCCATGTTATGCATATAACAATCACATCATAATTCCCATTCACATCCATTTCATGAAAAAAACTCATATTAACATGATCATAGTTTCAGTACAAGAACAATTGCTGTCAGGGAGTAATTGTTTTCTCCTTTCTTATATTTTATGTTTACGTTATAGTTCTGTACAATCAGTGACCAATGCTGATTGGTTGTACATTCTTTTTTCTCTTGTTTTATCTTATGTTTTGTTAGGTTTGTAAGTAAGGGGTGATTTTGAATAGTCAACCCTGTTACTATGATTTATAACATTTGACTATTGAAAACTGAATATTTGTAAATATTAGTTTTAAATTATTTTTCTAATAAACTCCTTGTAGTGTCATGACATTGAGCACTGATATAAAATATACAAAAATAACTAACTGAAAACGCTGTTATAGAAATATACAAAAATTGATACACCGTATAGGCTATATAAAAAAGAACAAATGATGGGTGGTGACATAAGATTAATTATAATATCATATATTATAATAATAGAGTTATTATTTGATGCCAATTGTAAATTTACTGTGAGGGTACAAGCTTGGCCACATTAAAAAAAAATTTTTTTTACAAATGATTTCACGATAGAAAACAACAATTTAAATTTACAGTGGGTTTACAACAGAAATAGGCCTAAAATTTCTCTTGAAATAGCTTATTTTTATATATAAAATATTTTATATTGAGTTTTTAATTAATTAATTTATGATGTTGTTACTGTTCTGAACCAATTTCCAATGGACAATAAAATATTAAAGAATTTTCATCAACAAATAAAGCATCTTCATATTATGCCCCTAAATCATATTTATGGTCTGGTTTAGTTAAGGTATTCTGTTAAAATTCAAAATTATTTCAAATAACAGCCTTTTTGAGTTAAACATACATAACTCTGAACTGCTTGAATTTCCTGTTGGACTCCAGATTCAGCAGGTACAGAATCATTGATAGAGTGTGTTTTTAGAGCTGTAGCGCCCTCTGTCTATGTCTTATAGCAATGCTGACAAAATGTTTAATGTAGAAACTACATAAAACATAAAATAACATCCCACCAATAAATGAAAAATATTGAACAAACGAGAATGAAACATAGCAATTCTCCCAGTCACCATTCAATACAAATCTTTTTATTGACATACTGTTCCATTCATTGTTTCCAATCTGCAGTACAGCTATGAAGGTTCAACTTTGGAAACTCCTGGAGGTCTTTTACACTTTAAACAGGGCTGTCCGCTGCTTATTTTTTAATATGACAGGGGGTAAAAGTTTGATTCATTACGTACTCAATAACAGCGGCAAAAAGAAAAGCCTTTACTGCAGAAATAAAGATCTAAAAGTGAACAGAGGGAAACAAGATCATCAGTTTTCTGAGCATCACTCATGATGTTTACGTTCCCTAAAATCATCAGTTTTGACCTAAGATTATCATAATCAGGAAGGCTAATTCTAGACAGATTTTGCTGCTCCTTCATGAAAATGCAACAGTTATGTAAAAAAAATTGCATAATCCAAATGAATGAATGCCATGTGGGAAAAGCCCATTACCCAAGTTAGCATTAGCCTGCAGTACAAGACTTACTGCATTTCACCATGTTGCTAGTCACATACCATGTCAGGCTAGCAACTGTGGCAGAATTAACCATGCTATTAATCCGTACTTTAATTCTTTTTCCTTTTTTCCCCCTACGGATAAATCAGGGGATACGAACCATATGGTCATTAGATAAAAGGGTCCAGCTAAAAGAAAAGCTAATTGAATAAATTAAACAGACCAGCATCCAAATAGGCATTGTTTCCTATAGAACACAGTATAAAATTGATTAGCACTCCTCAAACTCGTTGACAAACATGCGCTTGGTCATTTGAGTTTATATGATCGTCTTTAATCCCCTCTGTGGCATTTTGGCAGCTGCCCTGGCCTCTCATCTTCATCTCTCCCTCTCTTTTTTCTTTCACGCTCTCTCTGTGTGTTAGTTTCCATGTCGCTGGCTCTCTGCGTTTGCAGGCAGAGGCTGGAAGCACCCGGTGGGAGTGTAGGTGGGCTGTGGAAGCAGTGGTTTGCCAGGATTTGCTTAGACGCTGTCTATCTCAGGAACTGGCACGGGGTCGGTGCTCCCTGTCTGTTGAGAGGCACACAGAGGTTCACAGGGTTGGCTGAGCGATTCCGCAGACAGGCTCTTGCTAGACAGAATACTGCTAAGACTGGGCTTCCGGCCGTCCCGTGGCTGGGCCTCGATCTCCACACGGACCTCAATATTAGTCCCTTCCCTGCTGTAAAGACATGTGACACCGTTTTTAGGAAAAAGAAATTGATTACGTTATTGATGGTGTGATTTATGTTCATTTATTAAAAAACCCTATCTGATCATTTAAAAATGAAAACATTAAAAATGCAATTCTCACATGCAATAACTTGAATACACATATTTACATGATTATGAGCTATATTAAAAACATTTTGATATATTTCTGAGGAGATATAAATGTCAGGGCCATTTTGATACCATTATGAAATTAGAAATCCTGAATAAAAGAACTAAATATTTGTAATAAGAAAACCTTAAGTAGTTTAGCATCATTTCTTATTATTATTTCATAGAATAAATACACTGTTGTTCAAAAGTTTGGGGTCAGTATGTTTTTTAAAGAAATGAAAACTTTTATGCATCAAATTGATCAAAATTGACAGTAGGCATTTATAATGTTACCAAAGATTCATGTTACCTGCTATTCATCAAAGAATCCTGAAAAGTAAATAAAATAAAATATGAAGCAGCACAACTGTGTTCAACATTGAAAATAATAAGAAATATTTCTTAATCAGCATATTAGAATGATTACTGAAGGATCATGTGACACTGAAGAGTGGAGTAATGATGCTGAAAATTCAGCTTTGCATCACAGGAATAAATTACATTTTAGAACATATTAAAACATAAAACAGGTATTTTACATTTAAATAATGTTTTACAATTTTACTGTATTTTTATTGAAATACATGCTGTCTTGACAAACATAAGAGACTTATTTAAAAAATATTAAAAATCGTACCCCAAACTTTTGAATAGTAGTGTTTATATTTTAACAGAACTGCTTCAATACTTATCAATAATGAAAAAATAAAAAGTCATGAAATTTGCTGACCTCAGAGCAAATGTTTGTGTGCTGCTGAAGGCACACTCCTCAACTGCATCCACATCGTCTGACTGAACAACCTGCTCAGTGCTGTCAACATGTCCATCATTAGAAGGTTCAACTGAGCCCTTTGCTCCAGACTGGACTACACTGGTGCTGGGAAGCGGCATCACTTCCTCCACATTCACACTCACTTCCTGTACACTTCCGTTGGATAGAGCTGGGTTGGTCTGGCCGGTCCAGTGATCACTGACTACATGAGAAAATAGAAGATCTTCAAGAGAAGTTTAAATGTCATCAGATCAGGCCAAACTGTGAGCTTAATATTACAAAACCAATCTTTCTGCACTACAGTAACAATGTTTCAAATACAAACACATACATAGTGATTAACAATTTATAATAAAGTAGGATCATTTTCTAGCAAACAGTGTCATGCGTAATGTACAGTATAGTGTTGTGTAAGCAGCGTTGAAACTGTAGCTTTCTAAGCTAAAAAAATTTATAATCTAAAGCTACCCTTTTAAACAGGTAAGCTACACATATTACTAACATGTAGCTGACTACAGAGAATCTGTTTAAGGCAGTTAAACTACAGCAAAGATACTCTTAAAAGTAGTTAGCTAAACTTAAAAACTCCCAGTAAAAAGGAGCTAACTACAGTAAATCTTTGTAAGGTGGTTAAACTACAGAAAAGATACTCTTACATTACAAACAGTTAGCTACACTAAAAGCTAGCAGAAATAGCTAACTACAAAGAAGCTGTATGGTGTGGTTAAACTACAGCAAAGATACTCTTAAAATTAGTTAGCTACATTAAAAACTCCTAGTAAGAAGCAGCTTACTAAATCTGTTTAAGGTGGTTAAACTACAGAAAATATACTCTTACAAACAGTTAACTACACAAAAAACTAGCAAAAAGTAACTACCTACATAGAAGCTGTTCAGTGTGGTTAAACTGCAGCAAAGATACTCTTAAAATTAATTAGCTACACTAAAAACTCCCAGTAAGTAGCTAACTACAGTAAATCTGTTTAAGGCGGTTAAACTACAACAAAGATGCTCTTAGAAGTAGTTGGCTAAACTTAAAAACTCCTAGTAAAAGTAGCTAACTACAGTAAATCTGTTTAAGGTAATTCAACTACAGAAAATATACTCTTACAAGCTACACTTTAGCTACACTAAAAGCTAACAAAAAGTAGCTAACTACAAAGAAGCTGTTCAGTGTGGTTAAACAGCAACAAAGATACTCTTAAAACTCCTACACTAAAACACTAAAAACTCTTAGTAAGAAGTACTACAGTGAACCTATTAAAAAATAGTTAAAC